GACCAAGCAAGTTCCAGCGCCGAGGTTTTGCTAATGAGTACCCCGGCCAAGTACCACCGTATAACCGCGGTACATCCCTCACGCACGTCTGGGTCCCACGTACGAGAGGGGGGAAGTTTTGGCGGGAAAATTGATAACTCGGGAACGCGAAAAGACAGGAAGCTGGAATTTTGAGGTTATGTTCCCCGTCCAAATATAACTCAAGGATTTCAGATTCAGCCTCCAGGTATGTGTGGTTCCCACCTACGGCCCCTGAGATTTTTCGGCGGGGAAATGGCTAACTCGGGAAATAGCAAAGCTGGGAAGCTGAGATTTTCAGGGAATGTTCCTAGCCCATGTACGACTTAAGTCCATCAAATTCATCTCCCAGGCATGCGCGGCTCCCTCGTACGACCCCGCGAAATTTTTTGGCGGGAAAACAGCTAACTTGGGAACCAGCAAAGCTGGGAGGCTGGAATTTTAAGGTGATATTCTCAGCCCATATACGACTTAAAGTTATCAAGTTCAGCCATCCGGCGTGCGTGGTTTTCGTGTACGGGCACTTAAATTTTTGGCGGGAAATTACTCATTGGGCGGCTGGGTCATTTCCAAAAAACGACCGCTAAACGGAAATTGCTTATTTTCCTGTATGCAAAATTTACGGTGATTAAGGGTATTGAGAGCACAAGGTAGGTGTAAAGAAACAACCACTCATGCAGTTAACCTAATTACTTCAAGTGTGGTGCAAAAACAAATGATCGCACCGGCTCGCCTGGTGCGTTCCAGCCTGGGTTGTACAACTTTACAAATGAAAAGCGCATACTGTGGCAGTCCATAATGTGAATGTGTGTACGCCTATGCGGATATTTAAACTCAGCAGCTAGGGAAGCTTTGACGCTGAAATTTTGCCAGTGTGTTCCCTGGCTAAGCTCTATCCCAGGAACGTGATGCCAACTTTTAAGCACGTCTGATACCAACTTTTAAGCAAACTGCTAACTGAGAAGCTAGAACAGCTAAGTCATTTTTAAAGAATGACCGGTTACCGGGAATTATCCATTTTTTTCATGCAAAATTGGGCAGTGAATGCGTAAGTTAAATGTAGTGCAACAACCACTCATGCAGTTAACTACTACTTTAAGTGAAGGGCAACAATCTAGTTTTGTTCACCATAACTGATCACACCTGATTTTAAATCTCTTTTTACCATATGCAGCTAAACAAACCAGGAGTAGCTGAACGATGTTGTAATTATGGAGTCGAGTAGCTGTGTACAGCGGAGTCTCCAGATGACCATTGTCATCTGGTGAGAACTTGTTGAGCGCGCAGCCGTGATCCAGAAGTATTCGCACAATTGTTTCATTTTGATTTCGAACCGCTAGTGAGAGGACGGAAGTGCGCATCAAATTTGAATTGATATTCAAATTTCTGTGATGACGCAACGCAAACAGTACCTGAAAGCTGCTCTTCATTCGAATACTTATTTTTATACGTTTTTGCTGGGCAGCGCTATAGCGCTGCTACAACCAGCAAAAACGCATATTGTTGAGAGGCTGTCTGTGTGTGTGTTCGGAAAGGGAGTGCATTTTGTCACTCGCTTTCATCTCAGCAGCCAGGAAAGCTGGGAGGCTGAAACTTTGGATATATGTTCCAATCCCGTGTGTCATCCTTCCGTTTTAAGATTTTTCCCCACGCGCGCCTAGACCCCGCATACGGGACCCCCAAAGAAATATGTCAACGGGAAACGATTTTGCGAACCAAGCAACGTAGAAAGATGAAACTTTGCAGGGATACTCTCTACGCACGTGCGAGATAAGAAATCTAAACTCAGCTCTCTAACTCCCCAACCACAGCCTCAAGCAACTCCTCAACCCAAAAATCGTTAGCAACTCGAACCTGAACCGCAATTGTATGTGCAAATGAACATGGATTCTTTGACAAATGACTGCTCGAGCAATACTTCCACTTCTTAGTGAGCTGGAAATTTGCATTTTTTCAAAAAATTTGCATTTGTCATTTTTTCACAAAGCGAGCATTTACCGAAAAACGGCCGAACTTCATGCAAAAAACCGGTAATCATGCACTTGGATGTCCGTGCGGCTCTATAATGCACCACCTTCGACATGCAAGAAACCCGTAATCATGCACTTGGATGTCCGTGCGGCTCTATAATGAACCACCTTCATTCCAACTGACGCCCTTTCTTCTGATATGCCGGAAGAGGCCAAAGCACGGCCAATGTGGGCCTAATTGTTAGACTACACCGTAGGGATCATTCTTGCTAATAGCGATTTGCGAGTTTAGTGCAAAAACGCGTGATCGCACGGGAGAGCCTGGTGCGTTCCAGCCTGATATGCATTTTTTTTATGCTGCGCTATAGTGCTACTACAGTAAGCAACCCAGGCTGTAAAGCACAAGCTTGGCGGTACGATCATGCGTTTTTGCGCTATATCTGCAGGTTACTAACAGCAGGAATGATCCCAGCGCTGTAGCTTAGCAGTTGGCTTTATATTGGCGGTTTTTTGCTTCCTTCCCGCATACAGACGGAGAGAGCGCCAGCTGAGATTGTGTCGCATTACTAGTCCGAATGGACCTCAGCGTTCATAAATAACAGTTTTGCATGCGTCACTTCTTTTCTGGTAGGTGCTTGCTCATTGAGAAAATGGAAATTTAAATCTGAGGGGGAATTCAAATCGGAAGGGATATTAAACCTGTAAAAAGCACTCGCATTTGCGTTTGCGGTAAAATTAATTATTTGTCATGTCTGCGTGCAGGGAATTTCAACTCCACATGTGAATATAGAATATCCTTGCAAATTTTCAGCTTCGTAGACTGTTTGGTAAACGAAACAACCACTTAGCTACAAATATCATTGAAATGTCGCAAGTCGAAACTCAGTTCAAGCAAACGATTTTTCATATGAACAACAAATATTCTGACAAAATTTCAGCTACTGTTTTCATCCCAATTTTTGAGTTGACACAATTCCAACTACGAACTTTGATGTGACCACACGTACAGTATGAGCGTGAGCGATAGCTGAATTTGAAATCTTTATCTCACACATGTACAGAAAATATTCCCGCAAAGTTTTAGCTTTCTATCCTATCTGTGTCACGAAATCACTTCCTGTCAAAAAAATTTGTATATTTTTTTCGGGACTCCGTACGCAAGATCTAGGCCTGTGTGAATGAAGATTTTTTTTTAAAACGGAAGGGTGGCGCATGGGGTGCGAATATGACTCCAGAATTTCGGCCCCCTCTTTTTAGGCTGCTGAGTCGAAAGAGAATAACAAAGCTCACTCGCTTCCGAACACACACACGGACGACCTCTCGATATAATGCGTTTTTGCTCACTGTAGTAGCGCTGTAACACAAAAACCCATAATCACCGGTAACGCGCACTAGACGGGCCAGTGCGATCATACGTTTTTGCAGTATTTCGCGCTGTAGTAAGATCGCTTGGAATCCCAGTAGCTAGAATTTGTCGTCGAAGTTCAAGAAGTCAATTGTACAACTACCATGTGGTACTTGGACAGGAGACATCCCGTTAAAATCTCAGCTTTTCAGCTTTTCTCGGCCCCAAGTTAGCAATTTTCCCGCTAAAAATTTTCACGTAGTCATAACTATGAACTGCGCTGGAAGCTGGATTTGGAATCTTTAAGTTGTGCATGAGTTGGGAAAGCCCCTTTAAAATTTCAGCCTCCTAGCTGTTCTGGCTTCCAAGTTAGCGGTTTTCCCGCTAAAAGTTTTCGGGAGACGGTACATGAAAACCATACACGCTTGGAGCTTAGTGTGAAATCTTCAAGTTCTACGTGAATGGGGAACACAACTCCAAATTTCCCTTATAGCTTTTCTAGTTCTTGAGTTAGCGGCTTTCCTACCAAAACTTTCACGCGCTCGTACCCAGGCCCAGGATATGCGTGGAGTTCGGTGCTGCGATCCTGGGGTGGTAACGAGGTAGCCGCTGGTGAAATTTTAGCCCCGGAGCTTGCCTGGCTGCCGATTTGAAATATTCGGATAGAAACACACACACGCACGAACACCATGGGTTGTCACAATATGAGTTTTTTCATTTGCATATATGCAAAAAAGCATAAAAACAAGAGCCTCTCTATGAACATGCTTATGTACGCGCATGTGTATGTGTGTGTGTGTGTGTGCGTGTGTGTGTGTGTGTGTGTGTGTG